GGAATCTCCTCCAATCACGGTCACAATCACGCCTCTGAATTTGCTTCCGTCGTGAATCGACTTCAACTTGGACAAACTCGGAACTGGAAGTTCCTCCAACATCGACCTAAATTCGGAAGGAAAACGTTAATTCATTCAAGGTCGACATCATTGATAGAATTTGCAAATTCCCGCTGAATAAAAACGATTCGTTGATTCAATTTAGGCGCGCGGAAGAAGAAGTTAAATTTAAAAACCGCGTTTCTCAGAAAAAAAAAAAACGGCCGCCTCATCATCGATTTCAAAAATAAACCTTTTTCGTCTGATTATTCAGAAGTCCAAAGACGTAAAATGTACGAAGCTTGAAAATTAATTCTGGTGAAAAACCGAAGATATTTTGCGACTTATTCTTTTAAAATTTGCTTCAATCTTCCGCTTTTCGAAACTGAATTTTTATAACTCATTGTACTTTGCGAAGCATTTAAAAATAAATTTGAGGCACTCTCGCGAGGTGCCATTTAAAAGGCATCTAGTGATTCCTACGGTTTTTTCTTCGGATGTGAATCCGAAGAAAACATATATATACTGTACATGCCAAAAATATACGGAAATACTGTATGGTTCTTCTCATTTGATTTTTTTTTTCAGATTACTTATTTGATTCAAGGATGTCTTGCGGTATCTTACCCAGGAACCGTCGGAAATATTTTCAATTAACTAAAAAATTTCTTAGAGTGATAAAATCCATGAAATGATAACCTCTTTCCAGGGGAAAAAATTTTGAAATCAAAGTTTGTTGGCTTAACGATTCTGCTCGAGAAGTCCGTCTAAAAATTTGATTAAAGAGCACAAACTTTTATATCAAGTAACGTTTTAAAATAAATACAATTCTTTTAAATGTATAGTGCGAGACATTCCCCAACATTTTCGGGGGAAAAAATCATACAAAAAATTCAGCGAATTTTTCTGCTTATTGACTGATGACGCTTGGGCAACCAAATCAATTAATCTTGTATAAATTTCCAAGGAAATTTTTCACTAAACGTTCTCATTAATTGGCTTTCGTATTATTATTTCCGGGATAATTCGTTCCTTTTCACTGTGTATAACACGTTCAAGTCAAATAAATGCAATTTTTTGAGTTTAGCGAAAGCCATTTCCAGATAGTTTCCGCCTGGAAAATTCCACAAACATTTACTGAAATTTTGAGCTTTGAAACTCGGGCACCGAAATCTGATTTATCATCTCGCCTCAATTTGAAAAAAAAGAAAACAGTACGGTATATATTTCGAAACGTTTTTTTAACGGATTCGTTCTTTTCCGGATAACATGTTGAATCTTAATCTTCCTCACTGAAAATTGTTTGCAAAAATAAAAAATAATTGGGTGAATATATTGTATATATACATAATGAGAAGATTCGCAGCAGATAAAGAATGTTATTTACTGCGAGCAAAAGTCCTCCAGGCGAACCAAGAGGTTCTTGGTGACTGGGCAATATTGAATGTCAGCGGGTTCCAGGTCCTCGCCCAGAATTTCCCTAATGATGGGCATGGCTTCGTCAGTCTGCTCCAATTTCGACGGTTTGTTCAGCGGAAAGTCCATTG